TTTGGGAGATGTTTGAGTAATGAATGCTTTAAATATACTTTACTAACAGACTGTTAAGGACCAGGTAGCTGCCTTTTTTAACAATGACCAGCAATCACATTTATTTTTCCTGACTTCGAGTAACAGATGACGTACACAGACGCCAGAGTGACTTTAGAAGTTGCAGCATATGGAAGTTTCTTAACACCATCAACCTCATCAGTACTCCATATCCACTCAACAGAACCTGTAGGGTGGGGTACCGCAGTCTTTGTTTTAGTCCAGCACACCTGAGGGACGTACCGCACTCACTGCGGACAACTCAGAGTACTCACAGCCTTGGAACACTTCCTGGCTAGTGGGGCTGAAGGGCCTTCTCCGAGCCAGCAACTCCACCAAGGTAGCAGAAAATCCCAATGCTCCACGGAGAGGGCAGGGTGCTGGCTTCATGCCACCTACTCCCAGATCTCTACCGCCCAGGAACACCTCAGAGTCAGAGTCTGCCATTCTGTATACTTGTGATAGTTTGCCAATTCAATGAATAGGGCTCCCTAGCTGTTAGGCAGCCTCAGGCATTCAAGGAATGACTTGGTGGGTCCAGTGTGTCTGTTTCAGCAAGTCTTAACCTGTGTAACTAAAAAGAAGTTCATGCTCAGCCAGTTCTGCGCCAGATGGAAATAAGCAGAGGGTCAGCTGGCAGCCCTGTGCATCTGAGTGTTGACACGTGTGAATCATTCTCTGTCACTGCAGTTTTTCAGAGCATTAGCAATACAGCAGGGGGTTCAGACTCACCGAGAACAAAAGTTTGGAAAGGAGATCTGGAGCCATGGCCCATGCCTTCAGACCCACCAAAACATGATAGTGACTATTTCTGTGACACGCATAATCCACAACTGGCAGCCCTGTGCATCTGAGTGTTGACACGTGTGAATCATTCTCTGTCACTGCAGTTTTTCAGAGCATTAGCAATACAGCAGGGGGTTCAGACTCACCGAGAACAAAAGTTTGGAAAGGAGATCTGGAGCCATGGCCCATGCCTTCAGACCCACCAAAACATGATAGTGACTATTTCTGTGACACGCATAATCCACAAACTAAAGGCAACCATGTTCTGCCTCAGTGTCATGGTCTTTTCTGTTTCTTCAATGAACTGCATTCC